GCAGGGAGCAGGAGCCCAGAGTTGCTAGGACACAGCTGTGCTCTCCTGCTGCAGATTTAGTGCAACAACAAACAAGCTGCGCAGACGGTCTCTGGAGAATAGAGGAGAGCTCCAGCTATGGGAAACAGACACTGGGAGGTAAGAGAGCCTGGTGGGCTCCTGGGTAAGGTTTGGAGAGGGCCTTACTGCTGCTTTCAAGCATCAGGATCTGTCCCTACTCAAGGATGTTTCCCTGAGCTCTCTCCCGACATATTCCTTCACATTCACTGCCTGTCCCCCAGCTTGTGGTGTGGAGAGCTGCCCCAGCACTGCTGAACAGGCTGAACTGCTCAGACCCCTTTAGAAGAGATGACCCCAGACAGCTCAGTGTTACCTGGGCACACCACCAGCACCAGGCTCATGGATGCCACCAGCATCCCTGTGCAAGATGACATCAGCTTCTGGTGCAGCTGAAACCTTATCTGAGTCCCCAGCACTTTGTAAACAGTGTTTGTATCACCTCCCCAAACCTGCAGCTCCCTGCTCAATTCCAGCATGTTCCTGTAACTAGCCCCTCTTCCCAGGGCTCTGGGGCTGGAAAGTTGGAGCTGGGCTCACAAACGAGGGCAAATGCAGAGTGGTGTCCATGGGGCAGACATACAAACACGATGGGCTGGTCGGTGCCCTGACTGCCCACTGTCGCTCTCCTGGTCCCTGGGGCTGGGGGCAGCCCTGGCCATCTGCCCCAGCCCACCTGGGTGTTTCTGGTGTGCAGGGCAGTGCCAGTTTTGCCCGGATGGCTGGCTCTGGGATGCAGGGCAGTGCTACTACTTCTCCTCTGCCAGAAAGAGCTGGGAGCAGAGCAGAGAGGACTGCTGCTCCAGAGGGGCACAGCTGGTCACCATCCAAGCCAACAGCACCCTGGTGAGTGCACCCTGCCAGCTCCCTGTGAGCACTGGGCTGTCCTGGTGGCCACCTCACGGTCCCTCAGCAGGCACAGCGTTGTCTCAGCTTCCCAGCCCGTGTGCCCAAAGCCTGGACAGCCTCCAGGCAGGGAGCTGGCGATCCCCACACAGCACAGCCCCATCACTAACCTGTGGCTGGGCTGGGTGTCCCCAGGGGCTCATGTGGGTCCTCTCCTGTGCTAGGCGTTCCTGGTGCGCACAGCTAACATGGATGCCTTCCATGTGGGGCTGAAGCAGGATGGCTTCAGGTCTGACTGGAAGTGGCTGGATGGCACCACACTGGAATGGTGAGGCTATCAGCTTGTTCCCAGCTGGGTGTGCTGAAGGCCCATCATCAGGGCTTGGGGTGGTGCTGGGGACAGGCATGCAGGGATGTGATCCAGATTTTGGCCACCTCTTTTCTTCCCAGGATTGCATTGGGGCATTTTAGGGAAGGGGCATTTTTAGCAGGGGCCTGACCCTGGTGCCCACACTCTGCCTGGGTGAGGGACTGCAGGGGATTCTGCAAGAGCAGAGTCCCAGTTTGGTCAGTGCTCAGCCCTGCTAGGCCTGACCTGGGGGTACTTTGTGACTGATGGGGCTGGGGGCATCAGGGCATGTGGCCTAATTGGGAAGAGGCTGGCGGGAGACTGTGCCCCATGGGGAGGGTGAACTTTGCTCCCACAGCATCCCTGTGCCATGGCTGGTCCCTGGCTGCAGGAGCTGCTGATGGGACAGCCTCGGTTCTTCCTGCCCATCCTGTCTCAGCCCACTCTCTCCCCTGCAGGATCTTCCCAGTGCAGCGCTACACCAGGTCCTTCCAGGCCTGTGGCAGGGTGTCAGGCTTGGGCCTTTTAGGTGGTGCGTGCACAGATGCCCTCAGATGGGTCTGCAAGCAGAGTGCAGCCACCATGCAGTGGCTCCAGTCCTCGCCTCCTGCCTTCCTCTGGGGAAACACCACCTACAGCTGTGTGAGGCCCTGATGGCCAGGGTGACCCCCAGCCTGTGCCACCACCCTGTTCCCTGCCTGACTCCAGGGCATGGGCATTCCCAGGCTCTGCTGCCTCCTGGCACAGACATCTTTACCCCCCAGAACTCTGCACTTTGCCAATAAACTCTGCCAATAACTGCAGCTGGCTTTGGGGTGTGGGGGTGGGAGGATGGAGGTGCATCCTCCAGCTCTAAGACTCGGTGGCATCACTCACAAGTGGGAAATTGCATCCTGTGGCCAGGAGCCAGCATTGAGCCAGCAGGAATCCAAGCATCCCCATGGCCCAAAGGCAGCGTTCAGCAGCAGCTCCTGTGCAGGCTGGCACAGGTCCCATGAAGGCTCTGTGCTTTCTGATCCTGCTGGTTTCCTGGGGCTTTTGCTTCCTGGGCCATGCTGCTGAGAGGTGACCCTTTGCCTCTGCATCCCAAGGAGGACTTGGGCTGGGCAGCACTTGTTTGCTGGTGCCTGCCCAGTCTGAAGAGGTTCCAGCAAACATCCTCACTTTGGGTGATGTGTGAGGGCCTAAAAGGCCTGCTAGGGCTTGATTTGAGGTTGTTTGGTCCCAGAGGCTGTTCTGGTTTTGCTATGAACCTCTGGGGTTTTCCAGCAGCCTGCAGCTCTGGCACAGACCTCACTGGGACTCCCTCCCAGCACATGCTAAAGACCAAACCCCGCAGCCAGGGCAGCCTGTCACCCTGAGCAGCACTGGGAGGTGCAAGGTGATGCATGGGGAAGGGTAGCCCTGTACCCAGGGGCTTGGGCTCTTCACAACACAGGGATGCTGAGCAGGAGGGAGGCCATTCACCCCCCACGCCCTAAAATGAGAACATATGCAGGAAAAAAAGGACTTTTTGCAAATAAAGCAACTACTTCTGCTTTTGTGCATATGAAGATGTGTCTCCACGCAGTATGGTCTTAGCCACACTCTGCCCACTGACCACAGTGGAGAAGGACAGAAGTGGATTCCTTCCTGGACTGCTGCTGCTGCTGAGCTGCCTGCATGGCGCAGAGTGGGGCCCACACTGACCTGCAGTTTGCTGAGGCCCTGCTCGCTGCCCCCTGTGCCCTGCACACCCCAGTGAGGGTGACATTCACTGCAAGATCCTGCTGCTGGGCTGGTGCTGACCGTGGCCAGCCTGGGTGGAACTCGGCTGTGTTCACTGCCACAGGGATGCCCCAGCACAGGGGCAGTGGGATGGCAGTGGGACCGTGGGGGGTGCCCATGGGCACTCAGCTTGTCACAGGCTTCCCATGGAAGAGTCTCAGACGTCTCATTCCACAAAGCCATTTATTCACAGCACAGTAACACAGAAACAGCTCAAAATGGTTCCTCTGAGGTTCCTCTCAGGTTCCTCTGAGGGATACCCAACAAAGGAACACCTGGGCTTTTATCCCCTCAATGTTTGCTTGTGCTCAAGCCTTGCTCCTCTTCCTCTCTTCTCCTGCCCCCCACCCTGTGTCCATCCACCTTGCTTTCATCATCCTTCTCCTTCATTATGCAAAATGTCAGCAGTTCCTGCCTCCTGCAGTGTCTCTCAGTGTCCGTGTATCTGTCTGGCACCGCTCATCTTCCTGCCCTTTGCTATCCCAAGGCTGGCAGCTCACAGCCTCTTGCCTCGGGCTCCCACCCTGAGCTCAATCTGCTTTTCCATCTGCATCTCTAACTGTGCCTTGCAAGCCCAGCTGCCTGGAGCAGAGGTGTTCCTCAACATGGGACATCTGTACCAGCCTTCCAGCCCACCTCTGCTGCCTTCCACTGGGGGAGGCTTGGTGAAGGTGCGTAAGATGCTGTCATTGAGTCCCTTTGAGGACTCTGTTAGTTTTCCTGGCTGCCCCTTGCCTCTGCCACTATTTGCTGCTGGCTCCTGTCTTGCCCTTTCTTATTCCTACATCACCTGTCCTGAGCTGAGCTTTGTTGCCCTGCCTTGATGCCAAGAAGATGATGCAGCACAGCTCCTGGGCATGCGACCATCCAGTGCGGATGGGGAAAGCCAGGCAGGATTTACCAAGGGCAGGCAGTGCCTGTCTGACCTGCTGTGGCAGCAATGGGCTGTGCCTAAGGGGAGAGCAATGGGGGACATTTATCATGAACCTTTCAGGTCTGGGACTTGGTTTCCCATGGTTTCCTCACTGGCAAAGTGGGGATATATGAGGTCAGGAGTAGAGGAGGAGAGCTTGGGTGGAAAACCTGAGTGATGTGAGGGCTGCAGTGGGTGTCAGTAACGCCCTTGTTCCCCTGAATGCAGCCACTGAAGGGTTGATCCTGGGGTTTGTGCTCCTTGGAGCCTTCATCAGTGCACTGGATGGTGGGTAGGGGCTGGCCTCAGGCAGCTGGGGGGCAATACCACACCAGTAATGTGTACACTGGAGGGCAGGACTGGGTACAGAGAGGCCTGGAGAAATGGTTTGATGGGAGCCTGCTGATACTGGAGTGGGTAAAAGTGCAAATCCTGCAGCTGGGAAGAAAGGAGAAGCCACATTTCAAGATGGGCAAGTAAGCAGCCATGCTGACTCAGCCTAGGGAAAGCAAGGATGGATGGGATCTGCAGTGTGTCCTTGCAGTGGCAACTGCGACACTGTGGGCAGTGGGGGCTGGAGCTTAGGGCTTTGGGAGCAGGGAGGACATCTGGACTCTCCAGGACAAGCCAGACACAGCAAGTCTTTGCTTTTCATGATAGCTGAGACTGTAGGGGACCTGCAATCCTGTCCCAGCCTTGCCATGCCATTGGGCTGGCTCCACCAGCCTCCTTCTATGGAAGTTCTCCTAGGAGCTGCCCTCTCAGTCTGAAGCCATTTCCTCTTGTGCTTTTGCTACAAGCCCTTCTGTAAAGTCCCTCTCCAGATTTCTTGTAGCCATTTTTGGTAGTGGAAGGCCACAGTAAGTTTTCCCTGAAGCCTTCTCTTCTCCAGGCTGAACAATCCAAATTTTCCTCACAGCAGAGCTGCTCCATCCCTCTGATCATCTTGGTGGCTCCTCTGGGCTCTCTCCAGCAGGTCCCTGTCCCTCCTGTGCTGGGAGCCCAGGGCTGGATGCAGTGCTCCCAGTGGGTCTCAGCAGAGCAGAGCAGAGGGGCAGAATCCCCTCCCTGCCCTGCTGCCCACGGGGCTCTGGATGCAGCCCAGGACACGTTTGGCTCTCTGGGCTGTGAGTGCCATGGCTGGGCCATGTGCAGCCTCTCACCCACAGCACCCCCAAGCCCTTCTGGGCAGGGCTGCTCTGGGGCTGTTCATGCCCAGCCTGTGCTGGCACCAGGGCTTGTCCCAGCCCAGGGGCAGGACCTGCACTTGGCCTTGTTAAACCTTATGATGTTCCCATGGGTCCATTTCTCAAGCTTGTCCTGGTCCCTCTGGATGGCATCCTGTCCTTCAGGTGTGTCAGACCACCTCAGCTTGGTGTCATCTGCAAACTTGGTGAGGGTGCACTTGATCCCACTGTTCACATTGTTGACAAAAGTACAGAATAACATAGGTCCCAGGGTGAATCCCTGAGGACCAACCTCATCACCAGTGTCCAATGAGGACACGGAGCCACTGAGCACTATCTTCTGGATGGAGCTGTCCAACCTTATCCACTGACCAGTTCACCCGTTGATTGAATCCATTTATCTCCAATTTAGAGGAGGACTGTGTTGGAGGCTTTACAGAAGTCTGACAGGTGACACGTGCAGCCCTTCCCTTGTTCACTGGTGCAATCACTCCATTGTAGAAGAGCACTGGGTTGGCTGGGCAGGACTTGTGGTGAAGCTGTGCTGGCTGTTGCAGGTCCAGCTTAGCAAAATGGTTGCCAACACATTCCCCTCTCTGCAGAATCACTGACTGAGGCAGGGAGGGTCACCCTGGGTCCTGGACTGGGGTCTCTCATCACCCTCCTTTGGTAGATAAGGTCCAGCCACATTCTTAGGGATCTTTCCCGCTTGGTGGGAGGGGTGTCTCTTTTCCCCCATGTTCCCAAGTCTCCCTAGTGCTCCTTCCTCTCTCCCACTGTCTTATCAGCACCTCCATTTTCTCAGAACCATCCTCATTTGCAGTTCCACGCCGCTCTCTTTCTTTCCATGATCTCAGGATTCACACATTCACCTCCCATGGTCTTCAGGCTCTTCATTGCCCTCATTTTCCTCCCGTGGGTTCAGAGTTTCCTCATTCATCCACCACGTTCTCAAAGCTCCCCAGCACTCCCCCACTTCCTAAATGGTCTCTGGCTTTCTAGCATTTTCTCATGCTGATGGTCTCACTGTCAGCACCCTTTCCAGGCAGGACCCAGCCCTGGGCAGGTGATGAAGGCAGAAGAAAGGGCAGGATGAGTGCTGTCAATGCTGAGAAAAGGGACAGGCTGTAAATCCACAGGTCTCCCCGAAATGTACAGGTTGAGGACATCAGCGTGTCATTCCCAGCTCCAAAAATATGCAAATGGCAGATCCTGCACCCCTGGCAGCCTTGGGGTAACAAAGAAGGTGAGAGCTGGGTTCTGCACTGGAGCTGCATTGGCCAGGGCACACAGGGACATGCAGTGGCACAGTACAAAGCAGTATAATATGTGTTTGCTTGAGTGTGGGAGAGGGGAATAAGGTCTGTTTTTCATAATCCTTGCTTTAAAATAGAGACACTTTTCCCCAGCAGTTTTGCAATGCAGTTGAGGCAAAGCGTGCACCAGGGGCAGGATCCCAAGGTGCACACCCGGCTCCTGTTCCTGAGTCCAGGGATGCAGCCGGGGTGGCAGCAGTCAGTCCTTGGCCAGAAAAAGAGGACGAGTCTCAGGTGCCCTGCTCAGATTTGGGGATTTCTCGCAGATCCACGGGTAGTGTTTGTCGCATGGCTGATTCCACATTTCCCCATCGACTAGTGACCAGCAGTCTGGAGTATGGCGTTTCCTAGGAAAGAGGGCAGCAGTGACAACCTCCTCACTATGGACACCACCTCCCAGAGATCCCAGTGCTGCTGGGGCAGGCAAGGCACCTGGCACAGAGAGCAGGAGGAGGAAGTGTCACATTCCTCCTCCTGCTCTTCTTCTCTGCCACTTGGATATTTGGCACTGCACCCCAGAGCTTGGCTCTATCCTCACCCCCCTCTCTTGGGGCACTGCTCAGGGGAGTCCATCAACCCTTCTATTGAGGGGTGTCACAGGGACAAAACAGCACCTTTCTAGTATGGCAAAAAGGCAGGGGCTTGTGCCAAGGACTCTTGCACTTACAAGGAACGTTTTCTGTCCGTCCACATAGGTCTCCTTGCCGCATAAGGAGGTTCTCCTCCAATCCAGTAGTACGCCTTAGATGCACGCACAAAGTACTAGGGGGGAGAGAAGCTGTCAGCCACCTGCTTCTTGACCAGCACTTGCCAGGTGCCCAGGAGCCCCAGGACTGGCTGTGCTTCTCCCATCAGACTGCCAGGATGGGAACCTGGGGCTCATGGTGCCACCCTGGGGCTCATGGTGCCACCCTGGCACCTCCACAGATACTGCTGCAGCTAGCCCCGTGTGGCACTGCCCATCACCACCCTCCTGGGGTACCACAGCCCCCCTGCTCTGTACCGGCACTGTCAGTGGTGACCACTCATCTTGGACCAGCAGCTGAGCATATTTCCCTTCACAGTCTTTGTTGCTCTGTTCCCAGGTCTTGTTTGTCACCGAGATGTAGAGGCACTTGCTCTTGAAGAGTACCCAGCCCCAGGGGCAGCAATCTGGGGGCAGGGGCACAACTCAGGTGCTCATCCTTCTATGGATGCTTGGGGAGCTCAGCCTGGCTGAGTTCAGCCCCCGCATCTTCACAGCAGCGGCAGCAGCATCACCTGTGCCCCAACCCCGTCACGCTCTACCTGTGTTCACGCAGGCACGCAGGCTGCTCACAGCCCTCTCGCTGGTGTTGAGCTTCCCCTGCACCAGCCGCAGCTCCTCCTGCAACACAGCCAGCTTCTGCTGGGCATGACCCAGATCGGCATTCCTGGTTTTCAGCTCCAGCCGGCTGATGTTGCCCTCGTGCCACGCTCGCTGCAGCTCCTCTCTGGCCCACGCCAGCTCCAGCTGTGTCTGCTCCAGGCTCTGCTCCTGCGCCCTCAGCTCCTGTGACAGGCGGCCCTGCTCGGCCTTGTGCTCACGGGAGGAGTCCTGCAGGCTGCGGGTGACCTGCCAGTCTGGGGACAGGGGGGTGAGCTGGGACATGAGCATGGGACCCTGCCTGGGGCATGCCTCTGGCGAGGGAGAGTGGGATGAGAGTATCTGGCTGTGGGTGGAGATTGTCCTGGGGGTGCCAGTGGGAAGGGAATGGAAGCCCCAGTGGTGGCAGGTGGAGGGGAAACATTGGAAGGCAGCGAGTGACAGTGGGAAGACAAGGAGAGTCAATGAGAAATCTGTGGAAGGCAGTAGGAGGCAATGGGAAGGCATAGGAGGCAGTGGGAGGCAATGGGAAGCAGTAGGAGGGTTTGGAGGGCAGTGGGAGGCAATGGGAAGCAGTGGAAAGAAAATGGGAAGGAAAAGGGAGGCATTGGGAAGCAATGGGAAGGCAGCAGGAGGCAGTGGAAATAAAATGGGGAGGCAATATGAGGCAGTGGGAGGAAGTGGAAGGAAGTGTGGGGCAATGTAAGATAGTAGGAAGTCAGTGGGAGGCAATGGGAGGCAGTGATGGGAAGGTGGTCAGAGGGATTAGGAGGCAATGGGAGGCAGCAGGAAGACAGTGGGAGGAAATGGAGGCAGCGATGGAGAGTGGGAGGCAGTGGGAGGGATTGGGAAGCAGCGGAAGGCAGTGAGAAGGCAGTGGCTGGGCAGTGAGAAGACCGTGGGAGGCAGTGGGAGGGATCGGCAGGTAGTGGGAAGACAGGGGCAAGACCACAGGAAAGGGTGGGAGGCAGTGGGAAGGCAATGGAAAAGCAGTGGAAAAGACTAGGGGAGACAAGGGGAGATAGTAGTAGGCAGTGGGAAAGGCAGTGGAGGCAGCTCGTGGAGGCCATGCAGGAGCCCCGGAGCCCAGCCCAGGCCTCCTCCCTGGCAGCCCCCGCAGCCAGTCCCTCACCCAGCCCAGTGCCCTCCCGGCCGCCCCCACCCCCGGCAGCCACCGACTCACGGCAAGCGCCCAGGGCCACCACGGCCACCAGCAGCAGCAGCAGCAGGAGCAGGCTGGCTACCAGCAGCGCTGTGGGGACGCGCCATGGCCGGGTCCAGCGCCCTGCAAGAGAGGAGCACCCGCGGCATCACCCCGGGAGCATCATCACCCCGTGAGCATCATCACCCTGTGGGCATCATCACCCCGTGGGCATCATCACCCCTTGGGCATCACCCCTGGTGCCCTGCATCCCCGTGGCTGCTCCCGTCCCCACCTGGGCTGGGCCCTGCTGTCACTGGCCCCAGCGGTGACACGTTCTCGTAGGGACTGTCATCGTCGTCGGGCGCAGTGGACAGGGGCCGTGCCGCGAACTTCAGGTCAGCATAGACCACACTCTGGGCCATGCCCCCGGCAGCCCTGCAGGCTCTGCTCCGCTTCAAATGAAAACGCAGCTGGTTTCTGCAGAAGCAGAAGTGTGGCAAGGAGTGATGGAGGGGAAAGTACCGCCAGGGTGGCGGCGTCCTGCCATTGGCCAGGCACCACCATTTGGCTCCCCCTCCGTCCCCCAAAACGGCTCAGGGTCCCCTGGGACAGCACTGGGGTGGTGCAGCCTGGGGCTGGAGCATGGGGCACAGCTGTAGGGCTCAGCCTACAGAGAATTCATCAAATTTCCTGGGGCAGAGCAGAGCAGGTCTGGCTTCCAGCTGGGAACACGTAGCCCTGCTGCTGACTCCATCCAGGATGGAGGTTCCCTCTTCTTGGTGCTCTGCTCCAGGATCTGAGCATCACTGCCCTAATGCCTAAAAGAGACTTCCACACTGCAGCATGAGCTTTCACTTCTCCTCTCGTCATGGCCACATCTCTCCACTCTGCCACCAAATACACTGTGGAAAACCACATCCCAGACACCAAAGGGTCATGATAAATGGCCCTGTTGCTCTCCCCTCATCCCCAGGCTGGTGCTTCCAAGCAGTAGAAGGCATACTGAGCAGTGGCCCAGTAAATCCCACTGGCCTTTCCCTGCATGTCCTCCCTGGGTCTGGGCCCCTGCATGCCTAGGCAAACATGCTCCATTTTCTTCCAGGAGGTTGAGTAGAGGCTTCCCAACTTTTAGTTTTCTAAACCTCCTTCCTGTCCCCTTTGAAGCTGGCTTTGATTTTTTGCCTTTCGCCACTGAGGAAGAACTTCCCTTGCTCTTGCAGAGATGATGGACACTGGCTATGTAACACTGTGCTCCACCAGCACCACTGCGCACCTCCAGTGCTGTCCCAGGGGCTGGTTTGTTCAGATGTGCCCATCTGGCCATCTGAAAGGCAGTGGGAGGCAATGGCAAGGCAGTGGAATGCAGTGGGAGGCAGTGGAATGCAGTGGGAGGCAGTGGGAGGGTTTGGGGGCATGCCTTCTGAAACCTGCCCTTCTCCAGATGCAGTTCAGTAGAGACCTCTGAGACACTGGGGGCCTGGAGGGACCAAGAAGGTGTTTGGAGGGACCAAGAAGGTGTTGTGAATGCTGGGATTGTGGTCTTGGGAAGGGAAGGCAAAGGGGACATCACTGATTTTTGTTACTCTCTGGGGCTATTTTGGAGCAATCCCAAAGCTGGGGTCTTCTTTGGAAGGGACCAGGGAGGGGATAAGAGTTAGTGGAACAAAATACATCATGGGGAAATTCCCATTCTCAGAGGCTGGGAGGGGAAATCTCTATCTGTGAAGACCTCCAACTCCATGGAGCTGTCCACATGGCAGTTTGCTCCTGTTTTCAGGATTGCCCTGCTCTGCCCCACAGTGCACAGATTTGGGTCCATCCTTTGCTGTGCCCCTGCTGTGACACCTGGCTGTGCTGCCCTCACCCTGCCCCTGTGCCTAGGGAGACCATGAGCACTTTTAGGGCGTGGGAGGGGACGGGCTGGTGTTTCTGGGACCAATGAGAGGGTGCTGGTCCCCGCAGCCGTGCCTCACTAGTCCCATCTGCTACAGTGCGGAGCAAACTTCTGCTTCTGCAGATGCTGGCTGCACTTCTCCTTTGCACCTCTGAGACACTGCACAGTCACCGGGAGCAAAGGGGACATCTCAGAGAGGCATCCCCAGGGTGGAGCGGGAGCCAGCGAGGCTCAGGGTTCACCCAGTGCTCCCCACATGGCCCAGCTTTATGCTGACCTGAGGTTTGCCAAAGTGATGGGAGGCCGGAGCACGGCCAGCCAGGCACTGGAGGCAGGTGAGAGCCCACAGGCCCCGCCACGCTGTCCCTGCCGTGCCCAACCCCACGGCCTCAGCTGCTCTCCCTGCCTTCCTCCCACAGCCTTCGGCATGAATGAGACAGAGAGCCCCTACGAGAGTGCCCAGCCAGAACTGGCAGGGCAGGATGGGGATGGAGCAGAGCCCAGCCCAGGTGAGCATCCAGCTGCATTCCAGCAGACCCAGCGTGGTTCTGGGCTGGTCGTGGGTGGTGTTTTGGGGTCCTCCCACTCCCATCACCCACACCATGCCATCTGTGCTGTCATGCCACCACTCTCCTGCCTGTATCCAGGAAGGAGGTCTGGGGGCTGCCAGGGGTTTTCCAGCTCTTCAGGTGATGTCTGTTGTGTCGTGCAGGGTGCCGGTCCCGTCGGTGGTGCATCTCTGTGGGACTGCTGATAACTTTCCTGCTGCTGGTGGCCACTGTGGCCCTGGGGGCGTGCTGTGAGTTGGGGGACTGTGAGCATCTGGGGCAGGGAGTGTGAGCATCTCACTCTCTGGGTTGGGTTGGGGGGCATCTGGCTGGGGTGGGCACTGTGGGTGAATGGAGGCATGCTCATGCACACTCACTGCTGAGTCCCTGTGCTGTCTGCCACGAGCTGGCCTATATCCCTCGCACATCCAAGCACCTCCCTTGCCTCCCATCATCCCGCTTCCTCACCTTACTTTCCGTTTCTGCTCCTTTTCTTTTCCATCCTGGCACTGTCCAGCCTCATATTGCTGCACCCTCCCTGCCCTTAATCTGCTGTGTCTGCTCCTATGCCCATCCTGCCTCATCCTGCTCTCCCCTGCCAGATCCTACCCAACCCTTAACCCTACACTTCCCTGCTGCGTCCTTCCCTCCCACCTTTCCCATTCAAAGTGGATAATCCCCTGCCTTGCCCTGCCCATCCCACCTGCCTTAAGCAGGGTCAGTCCCACATCCGAGCTGTCCCATGCTCATGTCCCAGCTCACCCCCCTGTCCCCAGACTGGCAGGTCACCCGCAGCCTGCAGGACTCCTCCCGTGAGCACAAGGCCGAGCAGGGCCGCCTGTCACAGGAGCTGAGGGCACAGGAGCAGAGCCTGGAGCAGACACAGCTGGAGCTGGCGTGGGCCAGAGAGGAGCTGCAGCGAGCGTGGCACGAGGGCAACATCAGCCGGCTGGAGCTGGACAGGCTGAGCCTGGAGCTGCGCCGCGTCACGGGGGTGCTGGGCAGGACAGAGAGGGAGATGCAGGAGGTGCAGGGGAGGCTCAACAACAGCGAGAGCACCGTGGCCCTCCTGCGCTCCTGCACAGCCATAGGTAGGGTGGTGATGGAGCAGGGAGGGGCTGCTCCAGCACTGGCACTGCTCAGCAGGTGCCAAGGGCCAAGTGCTGGCTTTTTTGACCACATGGCGGGGACAGAGTGGTCCAAGAGCTGAAGCAGTGCTGGAGCAGACACTGAGCCTGTGATGTCTGCTGGGAAGGTGTGGGGCTGTTCCTTGTTACCCCCCAGGGCATCTGTGGCTGAGCAAGCCCCTCAGCTGTGCCCCTACCCACAGATTGCTGCCCTTCGGGCTGGCTGCTGTACAGGGGCAAGTGCCTCTTCATCTCCTCGGAGAAGAAGACATGGGAAGACAGCAGAGATGAGTGTGAGAAGACATATTCTCAGCTCCTGGTCACCAAATCCTGGAGTCGCTGGACCGTGCCGGTAGGGTGCTGGGGGAGCTGAGGGCAGCAGAGGGTGTGTCCAGCCATGAGGTCCCCAGATGGGCTAGCATGGTTCTGGGAGTCCCCAGATAGCGTGGTTCTGGGAGCCCCCTGTCCTGCCAAAACATTGGAGGGTGCAAGGCTGTTCTCTGGAGCACATGGCTGTTGGTTGACATGGGATAGAAGGGCTCTGGCACCCCTGGATGTTTCCCAAGCTGGAGCAGGGCAGCAGGGCTCGAGAACTTCCAGCCCCAGGGACTCATTGGAAGACGATCACCCTTCTGTGAAGTATATAGTACCGCAGTGCATGGGTGCCATGGAATAAAACATGGAAAAGCACTTTTTCTTCTTCTCCAGACCTTCCTGAAGAATGCAGATGTCCCATACTGGATTGGATTGCAGAAGGGCAGTTTTCCCTGGTATGACTATGGCGGGCTGGAGGAAGAGGACCCAGACAGCGAGGGAGACTCAAAGGCCTGGTTCTGGGTGGATGGCTCCCTTTATGAAAGGTACATGGCAGCACTGCCTCTTCCCAAAACTCCCCTCCACTGGCATGGCTCTAGGAAGCGTTTTAAACCCCACCAGTACCCAGTTCCAGGCACAGGCCCTGGGAAATAAAGAGTATCAGAGCAGCAGGGACTGAGGGAAGATGGGTGCAGTGGCGTGATGAGGTGCTCAGAGGACACGCAAATGGAAAGCCAGGACTTGGGGGTGGGTAAAACGCAGGGCAAGAGAAGCAGGAGCCAGCAAGTGTGGACAGAAGAAACCCCAAATTTCATTTGGGGCCTAGGCAAGGTGTTAGAGCACCACGTCTATCTCCCACATACCTTCTTGATTCCTCTCCAAAGGGAGATCAAAGGGAGATCACAGCCTTCTGTGGAGAATCCTGGGCTCATCCCTGCCACGTGCACCACCTCCTCAGCTCGCTGCTGCTTCCTCTTGCAGTGTTTGAGAGCACTGGGGAGGAACAAGCCTGTCTGGCCAGGTTCTGGGTAGCTGGCCCTCCATCCTCAGCCCCGCCATGGGAGCTGTGCCCAGAGCAGACCCAGGCTCAGGCCAGCTCCTCTGGTTGTCCTTGTGTCTTGAGGAAGGACCTGGCTCTCCCCACTGCAGGCATGAACAACCCCCAGCAGCGAAGCTGAGAGGGGGCAGGCTAAAGGGGTGTCACAGGCACTGCTAACCTTTTACAGTGTTTCCCAGCCTGCCTGGGGAAGTGCAGGGATGCATCAGCTGAGCCTTCAGCCTGTGAAATCAGTAGAGGAGGACTGGGAGATCCCCCTTTGACTGCAGCATCCAACCTCTCCTCTGCCAGTGTACAAAAGGCAGTTGTCAGCAGCGGCAGCTGCCTCAGCAGGGTTTGTAGAAAGAACATGTCAGTGCCTGATGTGTTGTTTGTTTCCCCATTCAGGCCGTGGCAGTCAAAATCGAATGGAACCTGTGCCATAATAAGCCATGGGAGCATCAAACCTGCCCAGTGCACTGGTCCCAGTGACCTGCACCTCTGGATCTGTGAGAAGGCAGCAGGGCCAAGCCTCCCTTTCAAGTGATGATGGCTGCTGGCCCCAGCACTGCTGTGGTGAGTCCTGCTGAGTCAGGGACACACGGGCCCTGTGGGGTGTGCCTGGAGGAAAGCAGGGAGCCTGCAGCTCTGCCTCCAGCATGTTGACCCCTTCTCCCATGGAAAGGGAGAGGAATGCAGTCACCTCCCTGGCTGCATGGAGCCTGCCTCCATCCCTTTGCTGCCGTGGGTGTTCTGGGTCTGAGGTAGCTCAAGAGCTGAAGCTGTGGCTCAGCAAGGGGGCAAGATGGGGGAAAACCCTTGGCAAGGTGCTTTCCCAGCCCCGTTGCATGTGTTGGAGGCTGGGCAGCATCTAACCTTCACCTCCACCCTCACCCTCCTCTGCTTCCCCCTGCAGCACCTCCACCCTGCATCGCCTCTGCTCCAGCCTCGCTGTGTCCCTGCCCAGGATGTCCCATCCATTACAGCCAACCCCTTCCCTCCCACAGCCCACTGCCCCTGGGCCACCCAGAGCCTTCCCAGGGATGCCCAGCAGCATGGATGCCTCCAGCTGGTGTGCTCTGGCTGAGTGGTAGAGGCTCCACAGCCGACCCCACACCTGCATGGGACACTTTGGGTCCTCCTGAGCACAACGGCTGTGGGCAGTGGGGAGCTTGGAACCAGCTGCAGAATGGATCAAGCTCTGGTACTCAGTGCTGGAGCCATGCCACACCCCCAGCACTGAGAGAACTGTGGTGCTGTGGCATGCCAGGAGCAGGAGCTGGGGACAGCACAGCCCCATCCCCACACAGTCCCCTCCCCACAGGAGGAATTTTCTGCCTGACCCCATCGCAGGAGCAGCTTGGCCATGGCTTTCAGACAACCCAGCACTCAGAGGCCTCGGCAAAGCCTCAGCACCCAAGGAGGGAAGCTGAGCCTGAACCGGCCTGTGCCTGTGCTGACGTTTGGGGATTTTTTTTGTGCTAATTAGAAAGTAGAGCAACGACCTTTAGGGTCCCACGGTGTGATTGTGCTTTTCAAAAGCAAAAGTTAACTCAGGCACTTGTAGCAGGCTGACGCTTTGCAAGACAACTCATCAGGACTTAAAATAGCTGCTAGACACGTGCACATGTGAAGATTAAGCAAAGCAGCCCTGATGTAACACTGTGGCCAGGTGAGAGTAGAGGAAGTGATGTTCAACCAGGCGAAAATGCTCTCGGTTTATGATAAGGTTGTGTGTGCCATATATAGTTGATGAACTGCTGTGTGAGTAAGCTTGCATGAAGAGCAAAAGGGTGTTAAAGGCAGGCCTTTTGGAGGGGTCATGTGTCACTCGTCTGTCTTGTCTGCTGGCTAAACTCACTTTATAGCAATAAAGAGACCCGGTTTGTCTGCTCTTTGTTTTCTTGTACACCACAGCAAACACTGTGAATTCAAAGGCATGAACTCAAAGAACCTAAATAATGAAAGAGAATTTGTCTGAAGGCATCTCAATCGAGATGGGTGCTTTAGGGCAGTTGAGATCTTGGGTTGAGCCAGTCTGGTTTGCAGTCCTGGAGGAGTTCCCCTCCTCCAGGAGAGTGCCCAGGCAAGACCATGCAACCTTCTGGGCCCATATCTGATGTGCATCCAAAAGACAGAAACAGCAGTCAGAGTTGCTGGGACATTCAGTTTTTAATGAACACTTTAAATAAGCTGGGTATATATTACTAGCAATTATTATTAATAATAATAAAAAACACAAAGAGTTCTGCATTCACCAGTGCATTGTGCAGGAGGGAGGAAAGCCGGCTCCCACCCTTGCCGGGGGCCAGGCAGCCTAGCTGTGCTGCCCACTGGCCCCATCCCCATGATGCCAGGATGGCATCCTGGCCCCTCTGCCAGCATCCTGCTCCCAAACCTGCGTGCCAGGGAGATGTGAGGCACTGTGCTGACTCAGCACCCAACCCTCAGCATCGGTCAGGCAGGGACAACCCCAGTGCTGGCAATCCTCCCCGTGCACTGCCCACAGGCATTGCCCCTCTACGGTCCCCTGCCCTCTTCTCCCCATGTCAGGGACTGGCTGTGCTCCCCACGCTTGTGGACACACATGGGTTCACCCACCAGCCCCCCAGGATCCCCAAAAACACACATACACACGCTGACCTCTCTACCCCCGCCCAGTCCCTCTCACCCGCCTGGGTGCAGGGAACTCCCAGTTCTCCCAAGGTAGCAAGCCCATTGTAAACCCCTCTGCAAGAGCCTGCAGAGGGGTGAGCCCTTGGGGAAAGGGGGTCCTGGATCCAGGGCTTGAGCCCCGTGGCCCCCGCGGGGGACCAGCCCTGCCGCTCGGGGCAGTGCTCAGGGCAGCAGTGTTATTGCACTTTGGTCCCCAGCAGAGACCCAGCCCACCTCCAGGGTTCCCTGCAGATCCCCAAGGCTGATCCTGGTGGGGTGGGTGCCTGAGTGCCTGGGCAGCGCCGCGGCAGCCACAGCACTTGGCACCATAGCCACTGGTGACCACCACGTGCCGAGTGATGACAGACCGTGGGATGTGCCAGACCGTGGCTCCTGCACTGCCCAGTGCTGTGGCTGCAGAGGGGTGCAAGGGGCAGCTGGACTCAGCCCCACTCCCCAGGGTCCCCATCACTAGGACTGTGCCTCCGGCAGCTTCAGGCTGGGCTCAGCCAGCACTGGCCCCGGGGCTTTCTGGTGTTGGCCCCGATCATGGCAGATGAGGCTTTTGGCCTCGCAGTTGAGGTTCTGGTAGCGGGGCGGGCTGGGCGCTGGCCGGTGGCAGATGGAGGCAAAGCTGAAGCTGAAGGGACTGAGGCAGCAGCCAGGGCAGGGCAGCACTTCGTCCTGCTCCAGCATGGCACCAGAGCTGTGCCCAGGCAGCATGGCCGAGCGCTCCGTCCGCTCCAGCGCTGCTGCACAGGAGATGCTGAGCTCAGAGAAGCCGTGCTCCAGCCCGCTGCCCCAGGCCAGAGGTTTGCTGACCATCATGTGGTTGTTGTTGATGAGGAGCCCGTTGGGGGCCCGCACGTCTGGCTGCCAGGCCCGTGTGCCCGAGGATGAGGTGCGGATGAAGTTGCTGTTGAGGGGCAGCGGGGTGGGCTGCGGCGGCTCAGAGCTGTCTGGGCCGCAGTCCATCTGCTCCTCTGCCTTGGAGCTGGGGCTGGGGGCTCCTCCCCAGGCTGGGGGAGGAAGGAGGGCAGGGGGCTGGGGGTCAGTGGGATGAGAGGACCCCATAGCCAGCTCCAGGCCCCCCCGGTGGGGCAGCTCGGGAGAGGAGGGCAGAGAGTGGCACTTGCGGGGGCTGGTGGCGGGTGCTGAGAAGTCGCACTGCACCTCCACGGCGGGCTCAGGCGTCACGGGGTTGCTGAGCTGCAGCGGGGCAGGGGGTGGCAGGTCGAAGGTGAGCGAGATGACCGACTTGCTCGGCGTGTCAAAGAGCTTGATCTTCCCCCCCTTCAGGTCCTCACGCTGGGAGAAGGGGTTGACACGGGGGGACGTCTCCTTGGACCTGGCCCCGCTGTAAGGCTCCAGCGGCCACAGCAGGGCAGGTGACTTGGAAGGGAACATGTCAGACTGGCTGCGGGACAGGCGCTGGTCTGGCTGCAGGTGCTGTGTCCCCAGCTCACGCAGGGGCGACTGCTCGGTGTGGCTGGCTGACCTCCTGGTCACCCCTGGGCATGGGCACAGGAGAGTGTCACCAGCAGCCAGCAGCTGCCCATGTGGGTTGCTATGGGCTGTCAGGCACCCAACAAAGTAGGGGTGCACCCCAAGGGAGGAACAGGGACCAGCTCTATCCCACAGACCTCACACACCCCTGTCTCCTCCCCTACAGCTGATGGGGTGGGATGGGAAACCCCACACTCCCCCACCTTTACACCCGGCTATGGCCTGTCCCTGAGACGCCCACATACCAGTGAGTGTGGCTGCAGCTCCAGATGCAGGCAGACTCTCCCCGATGCCAAACAGGGTGGTCCTGGCACCCTCGGCGCCCAGCTGGTGCTGCAGGATGCTCTCCAGGCACTGCGTGATTTCCAGGAATGAGGGGCGGGAGGTGGGCTCCATCTGTGGGCAGCAGAGATTCCCTGTCAGGGCTGTGCCTTCTCAAGCACCCCAGGAAGCCCTGCAGAGCAGAGGCAGCTCCCCGCTCGCCCTGTGAGCAGGCAAGGCAGCCTGTCCTGCCTGCCTGCCCTGGCTGGGAAGGGCAGTCAGCAGAGGTGGGAGTCTCACACTGCAGCAGTGAAAAGCCAGCTGGAGGAAGGCCGCTGGGCAGTCAATTCCCACCATGGTGCGGAAAGTGGTGACGTCCAGACCAAAATCCTGCACCAGGGAAAGGAAGAAGAATAAGGCTGGGTCTCCTGGGGCACCACAAGGCCCACAGGACCCAACATGGGCTGGCCCCCTACCCCCTGCACTGTCACACAGGACTGTGGACCTGGAAGCACCCCAGCAGGGACACGGCAGGGGAGGACTCTGATGTCACCCCAAGATGGGCTAAGGTTGGGGGATATTATGACACAGATACCACTTCTGCCCTCTGCCTGAATGCAACTGCCCTGTTCTCCTTTCCAAGCTCACTATGGGTTCTGAGGTTACCAGCAGAGACCATCCCTCCCTAGGCAGCAAGGGGAACACAGCACCCCGGCCCTGAGATGTGGGACCAGTCCTGCACACAGGGCTCTGCCCAACACAGAATGCCCCCCGCCCCTTGTTTGATGAAGTGGTCCCTGCCCCAGTGCTGCTGCCCACAATCCCCATTCCCATCCCAGAGTCACCTCAGTGCGGGGCAGGTAGTCGGGGTCAGCTGGCACACGAGCGATGGTCTCACACAGGATGATGCCGTATGCAAACACATCGGCCTGCAAAGAGCAGGGACTCATCAGGGCACCCTGCAGCCCCGAGCTGATGTGCCCACCACACTGCAAGGCCACAGCCCTTCTCCCTGCAGAGCCACACTGGAGCTCTGGCACCTTGTCACCAGAGGGATGCCCAATTCCTTCCCTCTGGATGCACTCCAGGACTGCAAGCCACTGGCAGCACAAGCCTGAGTAAAGCCCCACACAGGGCAGCCTCACCTTCTCGTTGTAGATCTCCCCACGCAGCACCTCGGGTGCCATCCAGTACGGGGAGCCCACCACGGCCAGTGGCTCCTTCTCGCTGCCCTCACTAGGAGACATGGGGAATATCAGAGGCTGCCCAGTCCCCCACATGGCCAACCTCCCACCCTCCTGCTGCAGCAGCCCAGATCACCATCTCCATCTCCCCTCCTGGGCTAAGCTTCTTCCATGCACTCTACAAACTCATCTCTCCCCAGTCACACCACCCTCTTCTCCATCCCCTCCTAGCCATTCCCAAACTGCTCCTGAAGTCACCCCTAGATAGTCCTGGGACTATCTCAGCACCCTCACTCCTGTGGCAGCACCTCTCTGGCCACAGAGAGCAATGCACAACTTTCCAGGCATTATCGTGGGAAAGGCCGTGAGAAGATCAGAGAAAGGAATGCTAAACAACTCTTATCTTCACTTGCTGCACCTGTTGTTGTGAACATGTGGAATGTGTTATGGAGATCTGTTTACCGAAGGGTGATTTCTTAACTGACCACTGGTGGTGGTGTTTGGATTGAAGGACCAATTGGGTTCACCTGTATCGTGACTGTCTGATAAGGGTGATGGGTTTCTTAATAAGTGTAGTATAATAAAGTGATTGATCAGCCTTCTGAGAGTCATGGAGTCAATGCTAATTATTACCCCTTCGGGGACGCCCTGTGCCAACACCATTCCTACCCTTTTAGCTGCACCGCCAACGTCCATCCCTCTCCAGCTTCTGCTCTGAGTGGGCTCCAGGGATGGGGATGGACAGGCAGATGCTGCCCACGTACCTGTAGGTGGGGATCTTTTCTGCCAAGCCGAAGTCACCCACTACAGCTGTGTAGCCACTGGCCTCGCAGCGCACCAGGCAGTTCTGTGGGCACAGGAGGACCTGTCACACCAAGTGCACCAGCCCTACCTCCCTGGCCAGTGGTTTCAGGATGCCCCAGCACAGCACAGCATCCTGCTCCCCAGGCTGCCACACCTGGGGCAGCAAGGCAGCAACACGGGTACGGGACAACAGGGGTAATGCGGTGCCCTGGGACATCCCGTACCTTGGAGGTGAGGTCACGGTGGAAAATGCCCTTGGAGTGCAGGTAGCGTAGGCCATGGGCGATGTCGAGGGCCAGCTTGACACGCATGGACCAGGAGAGGGGCACAGGGCTGTCCAGCAGCTGCTCCAGGTTCCCACCGTTGATGTACTGATGGAGAGAGCCAGGCCATTGCATCACAGCATCCCTCCCCTCCCTAACACTGCATGCCCATCTCTCCTCCTAATGCATATTCCAACCAACCCACACCACAGCCTCCCAGCAGGCCTTGTCTGCACATGTCACAGGCCAAGAATGTGTCCCCATAGGCGTCACTGTCCCTTCCCCAGGCTTGCAGGAACCCCGAGACTCACGGCTGTTGCCACACTCTTACCTCTGTCAGTGCATGCAGCTGTCCCTGGTGCACACACACCCCCATGAACCTGTGAGACAGAGGGGATCTGAGGGTGGCTGTGGCAGGGCCCAGCCCCAGGAGCTTATCCAGCAGCAGCAGTAGCTCCAAACCCCCAGGCTTGGGAAAAGGGGGGGCTGGCAGTGGGGAAGCAGGTCCTACCTGAGGATGTTGGGGTGCGAGAGGCGGTTCATCAGCTGCACCTCCCGCAGCATGTTGCCCCGGTTGCTGGTCAGCTTGTTCATCTTCAGCACCATGATCTGCCCCGACTGGCGGTGCCGCACCTGGAGGGGATGCAGGGAAGGCTGAGTCCCACCTCTGCAGCCCCCATGGACACCAGGCTTCACCTGGCTCCCATCCCAGCCCAGAGAGGGGAGCTAAGCATCCCACAGCACCCCAGGGACCACCAGGGCTAGGGGGCACTTTCCCCACATCTCCAAGCACTCCCAGGACTGATGACACACAGCCCCATCCTTCCTGGGGCACCCTGCTTGTTATGGTCATTCCACCATGCCACACTGCCCTGAACTCTGAGAGGCAACAACAGCTCCTATAAGCTGTGAGCCCAGCTCCACTCTAAGAACAGGCAGGTACACGACTGGGGAGCATCAGGGACGACTGGTTTTGGGTCAGCACCACCCAGCCAGACCGTACCAGCACGGGGTGGAGGGGATACACTGCCCCTCGGAACCAGCTCTAGGTGTGGCCAGCTGTAGTGCTTGACCCTAGTCTGGCAGGCCATGGAGCCTGGATGAGCTGTATATTTAGCCAGCCCCAGCCTGACACTGTCATGCGATCTGGGGGCCTGGTCCCCCGCCAAGAACAGCAGCTGGAGCATGGCCAAGCACGGACACCCCGTCCATCTGCAGCTCCCTGGCATGTGCAGGGCAAGGGAAGAGCACGGGATGCCCTGGCCTAACACTGTTATGGGGGGACCAAACCAGTGTTGAGGGTCCCCTCCTGAGCAGGTGCTGGGGGTGGGATGCCACCCTTGCCTCGGAGCAGCAGCTGCCCGGGGGGAAAACCCAGTGGATCCCAGCTGCCCCCCAGCACACACGGAGCTGTGCACGGAGGCGCAGGCATTCCTCAGCACTGCCGTCAGCTCCCTGCTCTTCTCCTTTTTAGTCAATGCTGGTTGAGGCTGCTGAGCTGGTGCCAGCCCCTGGCCAGCCCCACAACACCCCCACAACACCCCTCACGTCAGGGATTGCCTTCCCAGGAAAAACACAGGGGGTTGGCTGGAGGCAGGATGTCCAGCACCCCTGTCCTGCTCACAGCTTGGCCCTTGTCCCCACCACAACAGAGGGAGGCTGGCATGCTGGCCCCTCCAGGGCTCTCCTCTCACCCCATGGCCGGCACTGCTCCCTGGGATGCATGCCATGATGGGGATCTATCCAGCAGGAAACACCCAGGGGACAGGGCAGCAGCACATCCCTTCAAAAGGCCCTGGGGAAAATGAGTGCTCTATGAAAGCCCTTCTACATGTCTGTGTGCACTGATGCCAAACCAGTCCCAGTCAGAGTGGAAGTGAGAGGCAATAACTGTGCCGTACCACCATCAGCTCACTGAGCTCATGGAGAGGTTTTGAATAATTCAGCAGACACCTGCCTGTGGGCACCCCGCTCCAGTTACACCTGTGCCACCTCCAGCCAGCCCCAGACAGCCAGCTGGCACTCCTGACCCACCAACAGGGGCCACGTGACAGCAGGGCTCAGAATGGACCCTGACAAGTGGCAAGGGGACAGCCCAGACACCTGCCACCACAGGCCCCTATCCTGGCACCCCACCATGCTGCAGGGAGAAGGGAGGGTGGATTTCCCCATGTCTCCTCCTTGCTGAGCACTGGACATACTGAGCTCCTGGGTTCAGGGAGAGCCTGTCCCAGGGTGAAACTGCAGTGCCTGCTGTGGGGAGCACCCAGAGCACTCCCTCTAATGGGGCTCCAAGTCCTCCCTGTGCTCACTACCCTCCTCACCACACCACTGCCCAGCAGCACCTGGAACTGCTGCCAACGCCATCCTGACATCCTAGGACTCCTTGGTCACACATGGACCAAGGGCAAGGGGCAACCCCACCCCATCTCACCCATCGCTGTCCTTCCTCCACCCCATCCCTGTCGGTGGGGCAGCTGAGGGCAGCACCAGAAACAGAAACTGGGCTCTCAGCCAGGCTTCAGTGCAGGCTTTAAGGAGGTGGCCAAAGCAGGGTGGGCACAGTCTCCCTTGGTCCCTCCAGCTCCCCATGGGGCCGGGGGTTGAGGAAGGCAGAGCCTGGTCAAGGCCAGCAGGATCCACAGCCTTGCCCAGCGTCTGGCACAGGGCACTGCCCAGCAAAAGCTATCATTCCTGACCCAGCTCTCCTGGTGGCAGTGCTTCCTTCCCTTCCCACGCCACGTGGGGCTGGCAGGACTGGCTGGGTCAGTTTGGCTGGCACCAGCAGCTGTCAGACAGCAGGACCGGGCTCAGTGTTGCAGGCAGGCTCATGCCCGCCGGGATGGCTGGAGGCGGCACGGCTCCGGCGCCACGCGCCCACGCCAGGAATGCTGTGTGGCATGCACAGGGCTGGCACTTGGTGGCCACGGCCGCAGGGCTGGCCAGCTCCCTGCCAGCAGTGGCAGCCCTGCATCAGGGAGCAGCATCTGGTGGGCACCAGCTCAGCCCCACACGGTTGACAGGTGCCCGTGGCTGAATTCCACATTAAAAAGCCACCTGCCATTGGAATAGGCTGAGTGGGGGCTGAGTGCAGTCACACGGGGTTGGACACCTTAAGATTGGAGGAGAGGCAGCCTGGGGGAGGGAAGGTCTTGCGAAAGCTGCTTCTTCAGGAATTATCCCAGGGATCCCAGGAGCTCCTGCCCAGTACAGCCCTGCCCCAACGTTGTTTTCTGTGATTCCATCCCCATGGGGCATGATGTCCTTGAGGCTGTCCAATGAACTCACTTGTGAGGCCCTGTTCTGCCAACTCCCCTGCAAGGCGAGCCCACACCTGGGACAGCTCAAGGCCAGCCCAGACCTGGGACAGCAGGGAAGGAGTTATGCTCCCTTTCCATGACTCCCACAGGCACTGGCCAGTTTACCCAGTCTGTCCAGGTGCCAGCACCAGCCCAGCACCCTGGCCACCCCCTGACACAGACCCAGCAGCAAAGGGCATCAGCCACGGCTGCAGGGGGCTCGAAGCCCCCCACTAAGGAGGTTTCCTCCCTCACTGACATCCAGAGAAGGCAGCAGGCAGCACAACCTCCTCGGGCAGGAAGGTGTCCCCTCTCGCCTCTCTCATGCACCCTGGCATGGTGCCCAGGAATCCCAGCGCATTCCCTGGAGCTGAGCTAAGCCGGGCAGCCATGTGGGGCTGCAGGGGGAGGGCAAGCCACTTGTCCCCCACCCTGCAGGAAACAGGCAAGCCCTCACCCCTCACCGATGCTCCCTGGCATCCCACATGGCCGGTCCATTCAGGGGGTACCGCGGGTGAGCCAGGGTGCCGTGGCATGTTGGTCCCCATCCCATCTGCCGCCAGCACACAGGGCTGGGGGATGGGCCGGGCTGGCGGCAGCCCCAGCCTGGGCACAAGGGATCTGAGCTCTTTTAACAGCGGAAATTAGAGTCTTATTTAAAGAGCATGCTAATCAGAGCAAGCAGACGGCCTGCTCCCTCCCCACAGCCGGCACTCCCGTCTAGACACGGGGCAAAGCTCCCTGACATCTCCCCATCCGGAGGTCTCAGCAGCCACCCCCCCTGCAGCCTGCACTGGGGACAGCCTGGCACACTGCCCCACCCTCTGCTTATTCCCCTGCCCCACACAGGCAGGGCACAGTCACACAGGGACACCATCCTGCACCCGTCACCCCAGAGAGTTCTGTGGGGAACACAGGAGAGGGACAAGGGAGGTAGCAATGCCACTACATGAGGTAACCCACAGCCACCTACAACAACTGCATCTGAGCTCACAGGAATCCCAGTAACACAACAGGCTGGGGCTGGAAAGCGTGCTCATCAAATGGAAAAGGCAGAATCAGTCAAGACAGACTTTGAGGATGAGACAAAGCACCTGTTCCTGGAGGGTGTTTGAGCACCAGCAACCCCCACCTCCTGTTCTCCCAGGAGCGGCACTGTGGGCACAGCAGGGGCCGGGGCAGTGCCAATGTTACACTGTGGTGGCAGATCACTGCCTGGCCTGACTGGCGAGCCTGGAGCATGCCCTGTGATAGAGCAGGAGAGGGGCTGGCAGGTCTCCAGCTGGTCAGCACAACACGTTTCCTGTGCCCAGGACTCCCAAGCGGCAGCTGCGGGGCCAGGGCTGCTCCCAGCCTTGCCATGGCTGGCTGACCTTGGCTAATTCACTTCCTCCCTGCCTGCCTTAGTTTCCCCATCAGTGTCACGCTGCTTCATTCTGCTCTGTAAAACGAGGCAAGGTTCCTGATGAAGGGCAGCAGATAAGAGGAAGGGACTTGCTCCATTAGTTGCACCGGAAAATCGGAAATAAATAGAAAACTCCAAAGGTTGGTGGGGAAGTGAGCAGAGAGACGGGCAAGTGATAGTGATGCCAAAACCCTCTCCTGAGCTATGCCCATGCTGGAAGCTGCTAAACCACACAAACACACACACAACATGGAAATGGGGTGCTGGACAGAGCACATCATAGAGCTGCACCCTGGGAGATGGCATTTCCAAGAGGATGTGCAACATCAGGGCACGAGGCTGAGATTCAGATGAGTGAAGGCCTCTGGAAAATGCCCCAAGGATGCTGCCCACAGCCCCTGTGTCTGCTGCAGCCAGCACATGGGAAAGTAACACAGGGATTTAAGGAAGAGATGCAACAATGGTTTAAGCGCTGGAGAAAATGCCTGGCACAAACAGACCTGGCTCAATCTGCTCAGTCAATTGGAAATAGAGAGGTGGCTTCCTGCAATGTCTGTGTATCTGAGAAAATGGGGGGGCTAGTGCCCCTGAAATTGCACAGGGAAAGGCAATGAGAAACAGCTGCTCCAGAGGGAAAACAGCCCCGCTCTGCAGCACAGTGGGGAATCAGCTATGAACAAGTGCCATGAAAAAGAGCAGCTTCTTGTCACTGGTGTCTCCTGTTTGCTCTGGACAGCTTTTCTGAGAGAGGTGCTTGACTGGAGGGGCTAGCTTGGAACACCAGGGCTAGGACACACTGAGCCCTTTGGTTTTAATGCTGAGAAGACAGTGAGATGCTTGTCAGCACCCTGCCTGGCCCTGGCTCAGCTCCACACCAGGATCGAGCTACCTGTGCAGGGGCAGAGATGTCAAGGTCCCCTCCCTGTCCCCCTCACCCACCAAGGCTGGAATGACATACGGCTCAGGAGCCACACAGAGCAGGCAGATTCAAGTGCCCACAGCCTTGGAAAGCTACAGAAGGAGCAAGGGAGGTGGGAGGAAAATGGGTCCTGGGCTGCCCTGCCAAGCCCTATCCTCCTCGCGAGCTCTGGCGGCCAAACCCCAGCTCAGATCCCGGGCTTACCCCACCATCCTGCTGAGCTCTTGGACTCAATCCACCGCACGAGCACAAAGCCCCATCTGGCCCCCTCCCATCCCTGCTTCCTTGCCACCATGCACACATGTCGACTACTGATCCTGATCCCTTCCCACCCCTCAACCTTCACCAGTCCCCCAAATCCTACGTGCCAGTGGCCCTACAAGAACCTGAAGAGTGTACGGGAGAAGGAGCATTTTGTGGCTCCTGCAGAGAGTGGGAAAACAAACAGCGAGGCAAGAAGAGACTGTGGCCTCGCTGAGACACGGGAGCATCCATTATTAAAGAGCCATATCCACGCCTGACATTATTAAATGCCTCCCTCTGCTCCAAGGTGCTGTTGTGCACTCCAAGCCAGAGATCAATAGCAGAAACCCAGCCAGCAGGGAGGTCATGGTTCCACTGGGAGCTCCAGAGGGAAGCATGGAGGAGAGGGACCTCTCTGCACATTCTCCATGGCCCCTCACAGGACACCCCTTTGGTGGCTGAAGAGGAAACAGGTCTTGGGGTCCCTCTGCTGAGTGGGGAATGGTGTCAGGGCTGGAGAGGGACCCCAGGGTACTGCCAGGATGTGAATGTCCTGATGGTTGAGTTGCCTGTGACCTCAGTGACTGTGGTGGCAGGTAGTGGGGATTGTGCCCAGCCCTAAGATGCTCTTTGAGGGATATGAAGCTACTAGATCACCACTTAAGGGCAGTGCTAGCCCGTGGCTTATGGTATATAAGTATATATGGTACCTTAAGTGATGCCGAGGCTCAAAACAACACATGCACACACCTCCCCTCTGCCGGGAGAGGTAGTGGTGACACCGAGGCACAGCCCTTCGTCCCCAGCAGCAGGGCACTGGCCTGGCAGGACACTGCCACCATGCACCTCTGCCTCACTGCCCGAGCTCCCCACCAGCACTCACACACTTCTATCCTGGGCATGGGCCACACACAGCCATCCCCACCCTGACAGTCCCAAAGAGGATAGAGGACAAAGGCAGCTCCGGGGGCTTAGCCAGGAGTCAGCCCCCTGCTCTTCTACGGCATCACACCCCTGTCCCACAGCCAAACACCTTCGTGGGGGTCCCGCGGGGAATCCTGCACATCACCTGCTCAGCAGGCCCGGCAAAGCCGGACATCACCTTGGAGTGGCTAGGAACGCTACGTGGATTCCCTGCCACCGGCACACCCCGGGCGGGCTCGGCTGTCCAGCCTTGTGACAGCCGGGGGTCCCCGGGGCTCGGCTGCCCGGCACCGACCCCCGGCGCACCCCACGGCGCGGCGCTCGGAGCGCTCAGCCTCCCCGGCTGTAAACAGAGCCGCCGCTCCCCTCCCCCTGCCCGGGGCGATGGAGGCACAACGCCCCGGCCGGGACGGGGCGAGCGCGGCGTGCCCAGGTCCGCTCCGCACGGCACCGCCCGGAGCAGCCCCCAGCCTCGCCCGGCTGCCGGGGGATCGCGGTCCCCAGCCGCGGGCGCGGCCGGGGCTGCGCTGTTGCCGCGGTCCCGGGGGACGCCCGATCCCGGCGGGATGCCCCGCGGCCCGCCATCCCCGCTCCCGCCCCGCACACCTTGAAGACCTCGGAGAAGAAGCCGGCCCCGATCTTCTCGCAGTAGAAGTCGTCGATGCGCGCCAGGGTGGAGACGGCGCTGCGCAGCGCCCGGTACGAGGAGGGCCGCAGCCGCCCGCAGCCCGGCCACGGCCCCGCCGCCTCCCCCTCGCCCTCCCCGGGCCGCCGCGGCAGCTTCTCCCACTCCATGTCGGTCCCGCCGAGCACCCCCAGCGCCATTCACATCCCCGCCGGGGCAGCCGCGCGGCCGGGGCGCCGCCGCTCTCCCGGCCCCCGGGGCGATGCTAGCGGCGGCGGCGGCGGCGGCGGCGGCGCGGGGCGGGCGGCGCTCCGGGGCGCTCCGCGCTCATGGCCCGGCGCCGGCGCCCCCCCGACCCCTGCCGCGGCCCGGCGCTGCGCCTCCGCCGCCCCGAGCGCTGGCACCGGCGGGGCGGGGCTGGGGCGGGGACAGCCCTTAACTCCTTGGGACCCGCCGGCGTCGCCGCCGAGCGCGGCGGGAGAGCCCCCCCGCCACCGCCCTGCCCCGCCCCGCGCTGCCCGCCCGGTCCCGCACGCCGCGGTGTCCGCGTCCACCGCACCGGGCTCCGGTGGGTGCCGAGAGGGCGTCTCCCTACGCGCCAGAGGCCCTGAGATCCCGGGGCAGAGCTTGGGCACACCCCACGGACACAGGGCTTTGACTGTTCTCAACCCCTGGATGCGCCTTAGAGGCGTGGGAGTCTTCCTCCCCTGGGTCCCACCTGGATGCACATTGTAGGTGCGGGACTTCCTTTCTTCCCGGGGCCCTGCCGGGATTCCCCGTTTAGCTACGGGACTCTCTTTGTCTTTGTAGCACGCAGTTCCTGATGGACGGACAAAAGGCATGGATATCTGATCAGATCTCCCCATATATCCAGCCCCACCCTATACAGTGTTGTGGGACCAGTTCCCCCATACAAGTAGCTGTTGGCAGTTTGAGCCCCCTTGGTAGAGGCTTGGATCTCTGCCCTTGGATCAGGGGCTCAGATTCTGTCCATGCACCCAGCCTGGGTGGTGTCCCAGGGGCAGTGGATCTGTCCTCCGGAGGAGCAGGCAGGAGCAGCCTCTCAGTGACAGCATGCCCGGTGCCTGTGGCACCCTTTTGCCTTCCTTGTTTTCCTGAGCTCTTCCACTTCTCCCTGGTTTCCTTCTGCTTGCTGCTCCCCCACCTCAGGCCTTTTGCCTGCTCTGAGGCTGATCCGTCCTGTCCTTCCTGCCCAGGGACTTTCTGCAGCTGGATCTGCCCTTGCTCAGTCCCACACATTTTGCTGACGCTCTCCTTGGCATCCACCTGCCTGTGCTGGCCCAGCCCTGCCCCAGCCTCCTCTCTGGGTCCTGCCACAGCCCTGACTCTGCAGGTCCCCTCAAACAGCTTTTCCCCTGTGTGGCAGGACTGGCTGCACATGCCCTGCACCACTCCAGCTGGTTTTCCTGCTGGGAAAAGCAGCCACTTGGAGTATCTCTTGGTGTGGCATTTTTTCTGCCACCGCTTGGCTCCAGGTGCCATCAAGCACAACATAAACACCTTGGAGCATGAGCTGCGTTTTCTTCCTTGTCTCAGGAGGGAGAATAACCCTGTGGGCTAGAGCAGGGAACTGAGCCTCCTATTTATTTATAATGGGAACAGTGCCCTGCCCTCCCCCTAGGAATTCATGGTATTCCTGCTCTTCCAGGCCTGCAGAGGGAGTGGGTTTGTGCAGGGCAAGTTTCCTACATCTCGGGAGGCAGAGTCTGGGGATAGGGCTCAGCCAGTCCCTCTCTCATGGGGTCTGAGCCATCCTTTTCCTCACCAGTACCACTCCAGCCTGCCAGGGTGTTGGATAGCATGTGCCAGGGAGGCTTTTGCAGCCATGGGGTGGAGTGCTGTGCAATAGGCCACATTCTTACATTTCTTCAGCCTCACATGTCAGTCCTGCTGACAACAGCCTGACAAAATGACAGGAGCAGCTCCGTGGATGAGAAGAGAGAACAGCATCTGCCTGTGGGGTCAGGAGGCTTCAGTCTGTGCCCTCCTGCCTTGGTGTCCAGCTGTGGACACCAAGTGCTCAGATGGGTGGCAGTGGGTGCCCACCCGGGCTCAGCCCTGGCACCTGAAATGTGAGCATGCTGATGAACCTGCAGCCCCATGAGCAGCTCCTTAGTGGTGTGGGACACTGCTCAGAGGAGCACAGCACACCTAGGGCAACAAGGAGAGCCTCTCCCTTCCACTTGAGTGTAGCAGATTCCTGATGGTCAAGGCACCACAGCAGGGATGGGGAGGCCTGGTGAGGCATCTTGAAGACAGAAACTCAGGACCACTGCCTGATCAGAGTTCCTGCTGCTCACAAGTGACTGGGTTTACATCCAATTAAGTTGTAATGGATAAATTAAAGCCCTGGAGATGGCTCTGACTGTGGAAATTGCTGCTGCAGGATTTGCAGTCCCTTCTCTCATCAGCACTGGTAACTCTACTGTGCTATTTCCATCACGCTCTGCTCCTGCCTGGCACAGCAGGGCTGAGCTGAGACATGGCTAAAAGTCTCCAGTGCCCCAAATCCCTCCCATGGTGCAGGCAAGTACACTAAGCAGCTGGGTGCAAAGTCAGGCTGGGCTGAGCCTGCAGCAAACCCTGAATTAAGCTCCTCAATCCCTGGTGAGGAAAAGCAGGAAGGAGGTCTCCCTGGCTGTACTCTGCTCACGTGGATCTGCAGGGGAGAGAGGAGGGGGGCTTTGTCCTCCTTGCCCTTCTCTTTCTGGGCTCTACACCCCTCCTCTCCTGCAGAGAAAAGGCTCAGGGATTAGTAAACATCTTCACCCTGCCTGCTGGGAATTGTGCATCACCCAGGCAGAGCAGGGGTGGGAGCTTTCAACCAGCTTAGGGAGGCTGGAGCTGTAGAAGTGCAGAGTTATCCTGTAAGGATCAGGGCACACTACAGGTGTGGGCTGGCCAGGCTCTGTGCAGGGGCTCTCCACACAGGAAACCTGGTCCTTGCTGCACTCCCACCTCTATTCCACAACAGCAGTGTGGCACTGGGGTCCTGAGCCACCAGTAATCCACCCTGACCAAAGCCTTGCCCTGCTCAGAGCCCCAGAGCCAGAATGTGAGCAGTCCCCTCCTCTGCACCCATGTGCAAGAGCCTATCCCTACCTGAGACTCCTTCTCTGCAAATGCTCTGGAAAATCAATGGCTGCTGCTGCCAGGGGTGTGCAGCCAGAGCAGGCACAAGGCTAAAGTGCACGAGGGTTTTCCAGCCTGGAGAGGCTGTGCAGACACAGGGGTGAGCAGGACAAAGAGCACTGGCTGACTCAACTTACTCCCTTTGGTGCTTGTCTCCAGAATGTGGGTGCAGCCTCTCGGTCCCAAGTTTCCTCTTTCCTTCTGTGCCAGGAGATCTCTGCTCTTTTCCCACACTACCACACATCACCCTGCAGATCTCCACCCCCAGGTCCTCTATGTTCCCCAGCTCCCTGTTTATGAGACAGCTGTTTCCTGAAAAACATCTCATGCTTTCTGCCCTGTGGGAAATAGGAGCTGAGGGCTCAGCAGGGGCCATCACAGGGCGAAAGGAGCCTGGCCAGTTTGAGGAGCCCAGGGTACAGGGGAGAAGGTCTCAGCCCCAGCCTGGTGGTGTCCAGTGGCACCCAGGGACAGTGGATGCAGCCGGACTACATTTCCCAGTGCCTGTGTGCTGCTGAGCCCATCAGGGCCGTGCATGTTCCACACCCAGCACCATGGCTGCAGGCTGCAGCAGCCCTCTTCCAGATGCCAGCAGGGACTGGCAAGGTCCCTGCTGTGCAGGCACATTGCTGTGCCCCCTTTGCCTCCTTGTCACTTCAGCTGCAAAGCCATTGAGGGGTTGTGTGCAGCATGAAGGCTGCAAATATTTGTAGTGTCATTAATATTCTCCCAGCATAGTCAGCACAGCACCTGGCAGCATTTGCTCGCTGCCTCCTGTTATCTCGTCGATGCTTCTCATGTCTGAGTGCCAGAGCTGTGACATCCATGGAGACAGAATCCACATCCATCCCTGTCTCCTAGTGCTGGACAGTGATTTCAGCTCCCTGCTCTGCTTCTCCTCAAGCAAACACCAGTGCCTGTGCCTGGGGGGCACTGATGCCTGAACCCAGCTGAGTGCGTGTCTGCTGGAAGCCCCATGGGGGCAGTGAAATTGAAAACACTGAGAGCACTGATAAAAGAAAGCCAACCCTCACCTCTGAAAGGAGGGACAGGCAGCTCTGGCTGTGCCTGCACCACGTGTAACCCAGGGTGATGTGACGTGCAGCCACGTGAGCACAACTGCACAGAATCACAGAATGGTTTGTATTGGAAAAGACCTTAAAGATCATCTTGTTCCTGCCATGGGCAGGAACACCTTGCACTAAACCGGGTTGTTCAAAGCTCCATCCAACCTGGCCTTGAATAGTGCCAGGGTTGGAACATCCACAGCTCTGGGCAACCTGTTTCAGTGCCTCACCACCCTCACAGAGAAAATTGTTTTCCTAATATCTAATCTAAACTTACTCTTTTTGAGTTTGAAGGCACTGCCCCTTGTCTATCACTTCACAGTTCCTGATGAAGTCCCTCTGTCCCTCTCTGATTTCCCTGTAGCCCCCTTTAAGATACTGGAAGGTTGCTCTGAGGTGTCCACACAACCTTCTCTTGAACCTTGAGCATCCCCAGCTTTCTCAGCCTGTCTTCATGGGGGAGATGTTCTAGTCCCCTTATTAGCTCCAAAGCCCTTTTCTTGACTTGCTCCAACAGTTCCAAGTCCACATCCTTGCAGTGATTCAGCACTACAGGGACGGGACCTTCACAGATCACCAGGAGCCGGTCACTTCTTGCCAGGCAGGGACAGTGCAACCATCTCCAGCATTACCCACCCTGCTCCTGAACCAGCCTGAACACCTTATCCCACAATACCTGGCCATGCTCCCATCCTTCAACACTGCCCAGCGGATGACAGGGCTTTTCCTTGTCCTCTTGACCTGGACCTAGGAAATGTGGCTCTCAACAGCTCCACGCTCATCTCACAAGGTTGTGTCAGCATTTCTTCAACGCCTGCATCTTGCCAAGCAATTAGTAACACTCCCCAGGGATTTTGCAGCACACCTGAAGGGCTTATGGTTCTGCCAGACGTGAGGCAGGAGCACAGATGCCAAGAACCTGGTCTGGCTGCAGTGCTGGGACAAGCAGGGCCATACTAGAGTGGGCTGGCCTGTGACCC